ATGTCTACTTAGTTGGCCCTCAAGATCTAAAAGTTTAGTTGCAATAAAGAATGTTGAAAAAACGTAATATTTTGATATACTCTATGATTTTCTTGTGCTTATTAATATAATTAATGAGTTGAGATAGATGTGTACTTTAACATATAGTTTATTAGAATTAATTAATTAGCAACAATCATATTATTCTAAGATAGTTGGATTAAGTCTCCAATGTAAGATAATAATTATTTGTATGCTTTACTGAAAAAGAAATGTGGCATAATTATTATAGTTGTCTCATATTTAAAAAAATTGCATGCTTAACCCTTATTAGTAAATAAAGAATTCAACTACAGACTTGAAAGGTCAAATTAGACATAGGAGATGTTTGAAAGATATATATATATATATATATATATATATATATATATAAATAAGTGAGAGAGAGAGAAGACACCTATAAAAGGAAGCACATATGAAGCCTTGAAAGAAGATATAATTTCCTTTGGAAAAAAAAAGATATAAATTTTGAAAATCTTAACTTATTTTTGAAACCCTATTTTTATGTTTTTAAAATTTTAGGTTTAATTACTATTTTGATGTTATTGGTTTTAGGTTTGGTTCATCTTGGTCTATGTAATTTTAAGACGTGGCTAATTTGATCTCTATTTATTAGATATTCAATATATGAATTAAATTTAATCCAATACATTAACTTAAACTTTTTGGCTTCAGTGATGATTTATTGATCCTTAACATGATATCAGAGTGGGAGATCATGTGATGGATAATAAACACAGGACTTCTCACTTCTCACTTAATTAATATATTGGATATCTAATACTATTTACAAAATTTTAACATAAAATAACAAATTATTTTATGGTTAATTTTAAAAAAATCCGTGCAAAAGGTTGAAAGTATAGAAACCAAAATTAAAATTTAGAAAGTATGTAAAGATCCAAATTAACTAAAATAATAAATATAGAGACTTTTTCAAAATTTAAAAACTAGAAATTAAACCATTAGTCTAAGCATAATTGGGTAGATAACACTTCTATGGGTATTTTTTAAAATTTAAAAACTAAAATGTAAACTATCTAACCGTCTTTCCAAGGTGAAGACTCAAACATCCACCCCACATTTATTGTAGTAAGAAAATGGGAAAAAACCATTAAATTATTTCTCAAACTATCATTTATTTTTATATAAGTTTAAATCTCATTTTAATCTCTTTTTTTTTTCATTTTAATCATGGAACTCTTACAAGTGATCTTTTTGGTCTCTACTGTTAATCTACCATCAATGAACCAAACTTTATTAAGGTGAGATCAAAATTTGGGTTGGAAAAAGTAGGGGAAGAGGTGCTCTCTAATTTGATCGTTAGGCCAGTTGTCCAATTATAGAAATTAACATGTTCGAATCCTTTCACCTTACGTGTTGTAACAAACATTAACCAAAACGATCACTATTTTAAAGGTACGAAAACTCTTGATATTTAAATACCACGAAATCATTGGTTACCAAAATTCAAAACTTGGACCCAATATGTCATATTTATGACTTAAATAAATATAACAAAAACACATAATTCATCTGACATGTCTACTAACAAGACAATAACTAAAAAACAAATTTTTAGGTAACATTCAAGAAAATTTAAAGTAGCGAATCAGAACAAATGTGAATGAATGTTTGAAGATTAAAATAAGATTTAAATTAAAATTAAGAAAAAAAGGAGTTAATTAGTTGTTTAATGAAAAATTTGATATTAAATAAATAAAAATTGGTGAGAGAGATGTGGGGGAGTTGGTTGGTGAAGGCAACACCCGAACGACTGAGTCGGACTCGGATCCGACGCCGAGTCAGGGTCCGAGTGCGATCTCTTTGTGGGCCCAGCCCGTTTCCTTCCGTTACGGTCCTCTCAGTTTCCCTCCGAATACGACGTAGTTTTGGCCCCTCCTCTTATTTTGTATTTTAAAATAATGTTTAACCTTGCATTTGAAAGGCCACAATATTTTAAAATTATTTATGCGGTTTGGTTAGTAAAGAAAAAGAAGGAATTTAAAAAAATATATATGATTTAAAATCACGTTGGGTTAAAAAGAAATTTCTATTCTAAATATTTGGAATTTAAAGGTAACAAATTTAAAATTTACGCAGGGGAGAAAAATAGATTTTTTATTTTTTAAATAAAATTTACTCACTCCACCTTTGTTTTTTGGTAGGAAAATTGATGGTTGTTTCTTTTGTCTCCTTTTTGGAACTTTATTTTTTATTTTCCTTGGTATTGCTTTGATGAGTTTTATTANTGCTTTGAAAAAAAAATGTAGCACAATAAAATTAGTAAATAAATGCAAAAGATGAAGAAGAGTTGGAATTATGGTATTAGTTTTTTAGTTATAATAAATGTATTAATCATTTTGTTTTAGATTTAAAATAATTCGCCTYTAGATATTCTTAAAATTATATATTTGAAGAGATACTAACAAATTTTTCTTTTTGTTTTTGTTTATTCTTTTCAATTTTCATTTACAAAGTTTTAATTTATTAAGTTAATTTGACTAACGAGGATATTTCATTTTTCATTTCTCGGAACATCAAACGATAAATTTTAATTTCAATGATTTCAAGTTGATTTGGTTCCAAAGTTAATCAGAAATTTGAAATTATTTCCATATTTTAAAACCAGTATAAATTTCATTACTTTCATAATTTTTAAGTTGTTCTATTTTTAGTCCCTAAACTTTCAAAAGGTATATTTTACTTTTAGCCTTTGAACTTTGAGATAAAGAAGCACCTTGATCCTTAACTTTATTTTGTTTTTAACAAAATAATGATGTAGCTTTCAATACGTGTATATTGATAACGTGAACATGAGTTCAAGCTACATATAATTAAGSTGGAAGAGTGAGCACTTTACAAACGAGATATTAAGTGGAAAAAATAATATGACAATGACTAAATTAAGTTATTTTATTTTAAAGACATTTTAAAAATTTAGAGACTAAAATATAACCAACTCTAAAATCAACCTTTCGAGTTAAATCAAAATGGAACCAACTTAAATTTAAGAATTAAATTGAAATTTAAACTTAGAAAGATATGTAATGTTCAAAATATCTATTAGAGCATATAAATATTTAAACCAAAATACTTATTTCATATTGATTTCTAAATTTTTAAATATTATTTTAGTTTATAACTTTGCATCAAATTATTATTTTATCTTTTCTTTTATTGTGTAAATTATTTATGAATAGAGAGAATACTCTATTGATTTGGTTTGAGACAATTTGTTTTATTCAGAGCTTGTGTAGTAATTTTTCCTATTTTCTTTTTAATAAAAATCTTATCAAAAGAAGTTTTTAAATAAAAATTTTTATTTGCCAATCAAATTTTTTATGGAAAATGGAAATGGTAACTATTTGTTATTTGTATTCTTAACCAATAAGATTTTACTTTTTCTATTTTTGGAAAAATATTTTCAATATAGCGTGGAGATTCAAATTTTTTATTTATAAAAAGAATAATAAATATCTTTATCAATCAAGTTCGGAGAATAAAATTTCACTCAAAGTTAATTTTTCAAATGGTGAGATGTATAAGAATTTTTATATCATAAAAACTATAATCGTTTGAATGAGCATGGAAAAACACCATCTTATTGTTGGTTTAAGAAACCAAAAGAATTAAGAAATAAAAAATATTTTATTTAATTCAAGGATGTTTATTTTTCATAGCAAGAAAAAAAAAGAAGAGAAAAGAAAAAAATTGAATTTAAATAATTATTTTTGTAAAACTAAACCCATTAGATCCAACAAATCTACTATTACATAATCCACAAATAAATGTATGTTATTATAGTTATTAAAAATTATAAATTAATATGAGACACAATCATTTAGGTGAAAGTAAATGATTAATTACGTAAAAAAAAGAAAATTATTAATTATGTAAAAAAAAAGGTAAATTATTCAACAAAAATAAAATAAAAGTAAGATTGAAATATTGCATAGATAAAGAGGCCTAATGAAAAATTAGGTTAAATTACAAATTCATACACCTAAATTTCTATCATCAAACCTCATAAAGGATTGATTGGACTAATTTGTAAGGATATAGCATTACAAATTAAGACGATGGATAAAATAAGAATCGACAAACAAAAAATATAAATGGAGTGTGTGGCCGTGTAACATTCGACACATTTTGTTTAATGAATATCATGAAAATAATATTGTTAATAGAAGGATTTATCCAACCTAAGCTTAGATCAACTAATTAAGACATATATTAAGATTTAAATACTCTTTTGCTCATTGTAATTTCAAATTTGCTCAATTTTTCTTTCTACTTTCAAAAAGTCCATTTTTATCTCTATACTTTCAACTTTTGTTAATTTTAGTCCCTCAAACTTTCGTAATGTTCGTTTTAGTTCAGGAACTTGAAAATGTGATCATCTTGATCTCTTCGTCAGCTTTATCTCATTCATTTCAATCAAAATTTTAGCCTGACATTTACTCATTCAATTTCTTGAAATATAGCCATTAATTTGTATTACACTGTTTCCATTGTATTGTGTTAAAATTTTGCAAATGGAGATCAAAATAGTCACTTTGGACCAAATCGTTAAAAGTACAAGGATTAAAATAAACGTTTTTTAGATTACAAGGACCAAAATGAGCCAAAACTAAAAGAAAAAAATAGTATTTAAACCTAAAATAAAAACTAGAAATTAAAAAACGTAGGATAATTAGAACTAAATAAAGTTTATAAATCAGTAATTTAGTTACTAATCCATTTTATATTTTCCCATTAATCTACTCTACTCCAGCGAAGAGGATTTGTTTGGGGCTTTCAGCCCAAAACGCGGCGTTCAGTTTCCGAAAGGCATGGACCAACTAAGGCCCAACGAATCTTAACCACGGTTAGTTCGAAACTAACCATGGTTAAACCCGTCCCCACTACATGTCCAACCCTTTATAAAGTTGCAGCCCCTGTCTCTCCGCCATAGCCATTTGTTTCAAGAGAGAGAGAAAAAAAAGAAGACTGAACAGAGCAGAACAGAGAGTGTAAAAGCGACGACACGAATTCAGAAAATTGAAAGCAGAGAGAAAAATCAGTAGAAGAAGAAGAAGAAGAATGGCCTTCTATGGCGATGACGACGACCACTGGAAATGTCCAAAACACCCTTCCAAGCGGCGGAGAACCGGAATCTGCCCTCTCTGCCTCCGCGACCGCCTCGTCTCTCTCTGCCCTGACTGCGCCACCGTCCGCCCCTGCGCCTGCTCCGCCACCGCCTCTTCTTCTTCCTCTTCTTCCTCCTCGTCTTTCTCCCGCGGATCCGTCGGGCGCGTCTCCAGTTTGATCGACAGCGAGCCGGCGTTCCGCCGCTCGCGCTCCGTCGCCGCGGCGGTTCCGTTTCTGCGACCGAGATCGAGATTCGTCGTCGATGTCCACGGCGACGGCGACGGGGACGACTGTTCCTCGGCGTCCGGTTACAGCGCCAGAGGAGCGCTGTCGTTCTGGTCGATGTTCTGGTCGCGGAAGAGCAAGAAGAGCCAGGACGGCGGAAAAATCGAGGCGGCGGCGGGAGTCGAGGAAGCGATGCGGCGGACGATGATGATCCGGTCGAGATCGGTTGCGGCGGTTTCTGACTCCAGCGGGAAGTTCGTGCGGCCGCCGCCGGCGAAGGGGCGGGGATGGTACTTCCCGAGTCCGATCAAAGTATTCCGGCAACCGAAGATTCCCAAGCCCGTTCTTACGGAACGGTCTCCGTTACACAGAGGTTGAAATTCTTTTTTTGAATTTCAAAATTTCCGTTGAAAAAGAAAAAAATCAAAACAATATTCGAAATTAACGAAGCTGAAGCCCAAACTGAAGCTGTAACTGAAAACGAAGCATATGCATTTTTTTTTTATTATTATTATTATTTTTTGCCTCTTGGAATTATGTGGAATGATGATGGAATTAAATTATGTAACTAATTTGATTACTGCAAATTTGAGCTTTTAATTAAGCTTTTAATTATCTGATGATTTCTAGAATTTGAGAGAGATGAGGGGGCAAAATAGCAAAATGAAATAATATGAGGGGCCAAAAATAGCAAATTTGTGAAGAAAATGAAGTGTCAATAATTGGGAGAAATAGGCATCTCATTCAAATGGGACATTATAATATATTTGATTTGGTGACATTTTGCCAAACTCTCATTTTTTAGAGGAAAGTTTTCTAAGTTGAGAATATTTAGTAAGGGCTTTGAATACCTCATATCAATAATAATTGATTTTTTTTTTTTTTTTTTGCATTTTTGGCCCTACCATTTTTTCAAATTTGTGATTGCTATCCTTTAATGCTGATCCTTGAAATATTTACTTCTAGATAATAATGTAAAATATTGATGTGGAATCATATTCTTCCATAAGATAATCTTGTTTGATGATATGGTTTTTGTTTTTTAGTTCAAACTTTTCTTTTTTGGTTAACTTTTAAAATTTAGTTAAGATTTCAAGAAAAGAGAAAATTAGTTAGAATCTTTTAGGGTCCTATTTCTAGTTACATCTTTTTGTTTTTGTTTTCCTTGAAGATTTTAATTAAAAATGTAAAAGTTTTTTATGAATATTAATTTTTTAAATTAAATATATATTTGTAATGTAAAACGGAACCCCAACTTGTTTTTGTTCTCTCGAAAATATTCCACACGATGACGGGTTATGATTTTCATGTGATTTGAATAATATTTATATAAGTACCTTTTAAATTAAATGTTATCGACATGTTGGATATGATTAGCTAAGAAACTCAAGATCGGATGGATGATTAGAGTCTTTTATTTTTATATTTTTGTCAATTTTGAAAAAATAATTGATGGTTTTCTTTATGTCAATCATCATATTACTAATACACATATGATGCCAAATGCTAAAGCAAAAAGTTTGGAAATTTCATTATTCTCTCTCCAAAAACTAAAAAGTAAACACAATTTAAACTCCCCTCCCTCAACCAGCAAAATCCTTGGCCAAACTCCAAAAAAGATTCTTCTATAATTAAACTTTTTTTTTTAAATTTAGAATATCAAAAAAGTTCAAACACTTCCAAAAACCACTTCATTAACCACATTAACTACATTACTAATCATATTATAACGGCACAATTAATAATTCAACTTAATAAGGATTATTAATTAAACACAAAGTTGAATTTTACTATTCAAATGCTTGGAACCTTAGCACATGCACATTTCATTAAGTTATTGTAATTAATTAAGATAAGTATACAAAATTATGTATTTTTCTTCTGAATAGTAATTTTCTAATGATACAATTATGCTTTCGATTAGATGCAATTAATCGACAAAAATACCCCTTGTTTTTTAATGGATTGTTTACTTTATCTTGTACTACATTAATTTTGATTGCAAATTTGTGGATTTTCTTAGCGACTTGAACTTGGAATCATTCTTCTTTGTTAATATTGGAAAATCAAGAAGAATGGATCAACTATATATTAAACTTTTGGCTAAATTACCAAAAAAAAAAAAAAAAAAATTCAACTTTGACCTTTGTTTAAAAAATATCTTTATCGTTTAAAAGTTCCAATATTATCCTTGACCTTTYCTAAAGAGTTTAGAAAATATTCTTTGAACAAACATTGATTAATAGTTTGATCGGAAATTGACATGCATGGAGGCTTGCTTTGAAATAATTAGTTAGCACTAAAATAAATTTAACCTTTAATAATGATGAAAAAAATTCATGGCTTGAAACAATAATGGACTGACCACACGATTAAAAATAAATTTTATTATAGTGCCAATTAATTGTTGCAGATAAACTTTCATTAACTGCCACATCGTTTCGTGTTGAAATGTGGAAGAGTAGTATTGAAACTTTTAAAATGATTGGGGTATTTTTGAAACAGACTTTTATTTTATTTTTAATTTAGCTAAATTTTTTAAGCTTATCATTTTGTATTGTATAATATTTTATCATTTTAAAATCTATAGGATTAGCCGTCAAATTTTCAAACATAATTTGGTCAAATATTAGAACCTTTCCATGTGGACTACAAATTTAGATAACATTATCCTTCTTTGTACTATAATTAATATTCTTAAATAAGCTATACAAAAAATCTTTGAATAAAATATACATTAAATGCATTATGTATATGTAAAGAAGATATTTATTTCCTATTCAATAAAGTACATATATTTGAATTATCATAAGTTATTGAACATTATAAGAATTAAAAATAAAATTTTTCGAGTGTTATACATATGTTTATTGGTCAAATAAGGATTCTTTCCGTCTAAAAAGTGAAGGTAAGTATTAGTGTTTCATTCTCATTGTGTTCGTACTAGTAATTGATAGTTTTTATTGTTAGAGTAATTATTTTTCAAATGAAAAGTTAAAATTTGAATTTGAATTTAAATCTCTCTATTTTTATTATCTTTATTTAAAAAGAAAAAAAGAATTAAAAAAACCCAAAAATTTTGAATGTCAACTTATATAGTTGTATAGGATGGTAAGTCAAGGCAATCCAGCAGTCAGATATGGTTGTTTGGAATTTTTTGGAGACCAAATATAATATAATAGAAATTTTCTAAATTTTCTAAATAAACATTGTCAGTATCTGAAATTCCCTTCTGATTTGTGGCAAATACTTAAAAAATATATATACTTGATTTTTTTTTTTACTCAATTGAAAAAATAATTAAAACAAGTTTTTTTTTTATAACTCTAATAAACAATAATAATAAACAAGGCAAGATTCCATTGTTTTAAATGTTGACATGTTGAGAAGTCTCAATTTTGTACAAATAATGTCAATGAAAATATTCAGCAAACATCATGTTGGATATTTTTGAGAATGTTATAAAAATTAAAAAATTCAAAATAAATATTTTATTTAATAAATAAGTATTACATCATTTATAAATAAATTAAAAAATATTAATATCGATTTAACGATATTAAATTCATGGACATATAAAATGTCTGTGAAAATTTAATATACGGCTGGGTTAGAGAAGGACGAGACTTATTTTATTTTGGCATTGAAAATAAAATAAAATTTTTGTCTTGTCCGGTTTTGTTCGACCTATCTTTATTTATTTATAATTTATTTCATTAAAAGTTAATGTTTAAAGCTTCTCTAATGCTATAAAATTTTTGTTATATTTATTCGGGTTAATTATACATATTAGCCCATCTGAACACAGTTAAACTCGTTAACATATATCTCAAACCAAAAAGTAATAAATTCAAATCCCATCTCCAGATGTTGTGGTACTAAAAGGAGGTTTATACATATTAAAGTTGAAATGTGAGGATAACCAAAATAACGACGTGTGGTTGAAAATGTAAAGTAAATCCCCAGTCCCGACCTACTTTGATGTCATCTATAGATAGGAAATGGTACAGAAAATAATATTGGTTTGATTTCTATTGTTTTGTCAATGATAAAAATAAATAATTTTAAAAAATAAGCATATAAATAATATTGAATGAACTCGTTAGCATCCTAGGTCAGGCATTCCATTAGAGTTATTAACTATTCTATTATGTCGAGAACCAAGAGTGAACATTAATCAAAATTCAAAGGTAAAAGTGTAATATTTTGAAATCTAGAGACAAAATGTAAATTAAACTCAAAACTTTGAGGTAAAACTATAACGTTTTAAAATATAGGGACCAAATAGAAATTAAATTCAAAATTTAGGATAATATTTTAACATTTTGAAACTCACTCGATGAAAACTAGACTTAAAAAATGTATTTTTCCAAAAAAAAAAAAAACAACCTGAGAATCATGAAAGTTTAGGTATGAAAATATGATAGGAACAAAAAGGAAAAAAAAAATTAATTTACAAGTTTAAACCTAAACCTCCACGTTTATGTCTCTGTCTGAACTTTAAAAAATGTCTAATAATAGATATATGAACTTTCAATTTTACGTCGAATGGATCCTTTTAAATTTCTATTTTGTGTCAAATTATTGACTTATTTGACATATTTAAAGTTTATGGATCCACGAAACCTTTAAATTTTAGACATCTATTAGATATAATCTTAAAATTTCCGACTAAACACGTGAATAAATAAAACTCCTAATAAGAATAGACTAATGTCAACCTCTCCACACGCTTATCACGTGCCATTTGATCTTATTAGTTTTTTGGCCATATTTATTGATCGTAAATGAAAATAATTTTCCTCGATTTATATTTATTGAATTTAAATTTAGTAGTCATTCCTATGGCAGATCCCATATCAAATTACTAATTTTAAGGAACCTGTCCACAAGATCAAAATAGAAACAAAAGGAAAAAAACTAGAAAAATTACTTATATAATAATAAAGATGGGATCTTTTCTAGGATTTGTACACAGTCCATTTATATTGATATGACCCATTTTTCTTTCTTTTCTTGTTCATATAATTTGTTCAATAATTAGAACATTATTTCAAATCTTGTTCATATTGGAATAAAGAATAATTTTCAATTTACACCCAATTAGTGATTGATTCACATGCTTCATGTTTTAAATACGAAAAAAAGGAAAAAGACTATATTGATTATGTGTTTATTTAATTATATATATATATATATAACATGGAGATGAGAATTCGAATTCACGACCTTTTAGTTGGACATAAGTACCTTAATCAGTTAAGTTATGCGCACATTATTGTTTATTTAATTGCATTGTTACATGGTTTCTTTCAGAATACATCTCATTTATGAAAAACTCGTTTCTTTCTTTATCCAAACATCACCCAATCCATTTATTTTTATTCAATTCAATAGTCAAAGCGAATATAGTTCGGCGGTAATTGACATATATCTCCAACCAAGAGGTTGTGAGCTCGACCCCTTAACTCTACATGTTGTATTTAACAAAGTTATAGAAACTACTATAGCAAGATTTTTTAAAAACCATAGAAACTACTATAGTGAGATTTTTAAAAATTATAGAATCATTCAAACCAAAGAGAATTTAATTCCTATAGTTTT